CTTCTATTGAAAACGACCCAATTTAAGCTGCTGAATGCAACATTGACAATCAGTCCAGAACTCTCAAAACTTTCGAAAGCCCGAAAGAACATGATGCGATTGTCAAATCTTCGTGTATTACACGTGTTACAATCGAGGAAGCTGCAATACTGACTGGGAATGGTGCCACAGCTCCTGTGATTGATCTTACCGACAAGGTTTGCTCAGACCTTGTAGGTACGGATATCCGGTCTGTGTTTGCTACCGAAGACGCTTTAGGCTCAGGCTCGAACAAAGCGGAGCGGATCCTGCTGTACATACTGCGGAGGAGCAAGAGAATAGGCAAGCGCCCAATCAAACTCCTACTGATGCTATTGGAGGCTGAGAAATACGTGAAGACGATATCTACTCGCTGGATGCGAAAAAAACCCGACACTAAGCAAAGAAACGCGCTGGCGTGTGGAGCGTTTCTCTCACGAAAGCGTCGCCATCCGGCCAAGTGTGGGTTTACTAACAGTGATACATGTATCTACCATGCACATTCACTGAAGGCTCGTAAGGTTCAGGCGGTTTTATCGCTCCCTGGTGTGCTCGAGTGCTTATGCGAGCTTCGCATACGTCAGTGCACTTTCAGGCTCCGGAAATGGCGCTTTCGTTTGATTCTAGAGGCCCAACACATCGTCACGTAAGACAGAGCATGGTGTATCTGTGCATATTAATATTACGCAATATCCTAGCATACGTTTGATGTGAAGAGGAAGTTTGGAGACAATTGTTAGTGGTCTACAGAGTTTTGGGACACTTGCAGCTTTGGAAGGTCTTCCAGCGGAGTATCGAGCCTCCGCGACAGAGCACGACGGATGCACAGAGGGCATAGATGGTTTGTGGCTATCTCGCAAGAGAATAGCTTCTGCGCCTTTGTCATTTTTTTTTTGGTGAAGCTGCCATGTTCAAATGCACACCGTAGTCGTAGATTGATATTCGGTTAGTGGCTAGGCACGGCAGCAGCTTAACGCGCCAGCCATACTCACCTTCAAAACAGTCGCCGCAGGTTTCTAAACTACACTTCAGAACCCTATGGCGCATCCTGTCCGGAGCCGCTCCACTGCGTGCACACCATTTGATTGACCTTCCCAACGCCGAATGACGTGAGACAATCGAGTACTATGTGCAGCGGGGCTGCCGTAGCTTTATCGTAAGAGGAAGACGCTCGACCCAAAGAGTCCCTAATACGAAGTTCTTTATCCAAAGGAACTTACAGCCCAAGACCAGGGTCAAAGTTAATACCTTAACGTTTATAATTCAAAATGAGAAGTCTTTTATTTACTATTATCGAGGCCAAGCCGCCTAGGGGTAAATGTATCTGTTTAAATATCTAGCATAGTTAAACCTAATCAAATGCATAACGTGTGGCTTTCAGCCAACATACTGAAAGACCTTGTTAACTCTCTAATTTATGCCCTGAGAGTTTGTTAAGTCTCCGGATACTTCGTACCACTGTGTGCTCTACACCATGTAACCCCGTTACACTGAGTCTCGATCGCCCACCCTGACGGCGATGATGAGGTTTTATATTTGACTTGACTTTGACCAAAAATCAATGTCGCACTGGGGCCAATTTTGTTTAGGAATGCTGTCAGCCCACAAAGATGTGAGGTCTTTGGACTGGCCTCGTCTCTATGTATGTGCATAGCCTTGAAATATGGAGGGGTTGGATATAGCCAATCCGGTCACGGGGTTAGAACAAGCCACACTGACCAGAATAGAGTATCACAAAAATGTCTTTGGACTTTATAATTGTGTGAAGCTAAATGAGTATCCCACATGAAGTTTACAATTCCAGAATGAAGTAGCTCACACGGGTTTGTAGGAAATGCCGAAGCGAATCCCATGAAAAAGATGATGATCGCCGTCGGGGTGGGCGATAAAGACTCAGTACTCGATGGTCTCAAGTCATTCGACGTCGGGAAGGACAATCAAATGGTGTGCACGCAGTGCAGCGGCTCCGGACAGGATGCGCTATAGGGCTCTAAAGTGTAGTTCAGAAACCTGTAGCGACTGTTTTGAAGTTGAATGTGGCTGGCGCGTTAAACTGCTGCCGTGCCTAACCACTAACCGAATATCAATCTACGACTACGGTGTGCATTTGAACATGGCAGCTTCACCAAACAAAAAAAGAAAATGACAAAGGCGCAGAAGCTATTCTCTCGCGAGATAGCCACAAACCATCTATGTCCTCTGTGCATCCGTCGTGCTCTGTCGCGGAGGCTCGATACTCCACTAGAAGACCTTCCAAAGCTGCAAGTGTCCCAGAACTTTGTAGACCACTACAGTAGAACATATTTGCACAACCATGACCGCGTTGGCGAGATCCATGGGTAGGTGCATGCAAGGACATTCGCTGTACAGGAGGCCATGAAGCAGGCGTTCACTTTCGGGTGGCAGCTGGACAGATACGGAAAGACCGTAGTGGAGAACGGATCGGACCAGGCCCTTTTGTTGTGGGGCCTCGACGAAGACTTTAATTATGCGTATGCACCTACCAGCTGAGAACGTCATCCTACACATCGATGCCACCAAGGCCAATCACCGCGGATATCCCGTAGTCGTCGGGGGAGTGTCTGACCGCTCAAGTGGGTTCATTTGGTGGAGCTGTTCATCGTCTCGCAAGATACTCAATCCGTTTCGAGTCTGTTCTCCTTCGCTTCGCTGACAGTACTACTACGTCACACAAAAGGAGCTTATAATCCGTTACGCCATAGCAGACGCGGACAAAGCCCAGTACAACGCGCTGCATGTTATCTTCGGAAATTACCCGGGCTTTCAATTCCCAATGTGTTATTTTCATGTGATGGAAAATGTCCAGAAGCCTATTAAGGGTTGTATCGGCCTCACTGGTGAGGTCTGTGTACGATTTGCGCTTCTCTCGAAGCGAAATGAAGTTCAACGGACGGATGTTTCCTGGTATTGATGAACTAACCATTTTTACTTGGCTTCGCTCACTATAAGCAAAACCAGTGGCTCTTTAGTAGATACTGTAAGTGGCAGTGATACGTGACGCCACGTAGGTTCGCGTCGATCAACAACCCAGCTGAAATGTTCAACGCTTTGATGAAGAGAGCTTACACTCTCCGACATCGGCTTAAAATGGCCACTCTTGTACAAGAACTAGCGGCGTGTTGCCACGACCTATCATCATCTACAAGGGAATTCATCTTCGAAATAAGTGTTTCGGGATTCCTCACACGTAGTGTATCGAAATGATGAAATCCCGCCTGATTGGTGTTTGGAATGGCAATGAACCTCGGCAAGCGCATGCTGGAGACCCCACGCTGGTGTACGAGATACCCCAGCTTGCTAAGCGGGTGAGTATTGCGCCTCCTGACCAGCTTCATCCAGACCGAGTCTAGATCCCAGCGGGCCCCTAGGGTCGCTTGATCCAGACAAGCGAACACCCTCAACAGGATATATCGGGTGGTTCTCCGACAAGTACGTAGGAGCTACCATCCTCACGCCCACCGGAGCGATAACAGTCGCGACGTCCTGACGTTCCGGAGGGCAGCCGGCCTCGAGGCGATTCCAGGCGCACCGATAGATTTCAAACATCCTTAACCCTGCACCTCTGTCGCCCCTGGCTGTCGAGCCAAGTGAGCGTTGAAACCCTGGAATATTTTTCGTCCTCTTAGCGTTTCCAAGATAAACAACGCGCTTTCTTTGTCTTCCATCGGCATGTCGCCCAGTGCGCCTCTAGCACCCTCAGCTGCAATGTCCTGCCGGCGTGGGGTCTCACGTCCCACCTCCGCCGCTCGTGTTTCGCCTGTCGGGGTGTCTCGTTCCTCCGCTTCACGTGCGACGTCTGCGTCTGCACATCCTCTTCTTCTTCTTCACGAATCTTGGCGGGCCCCGGGGTCTCAGCACCCAGAGGGTAGACCCAATCGCCTTGCCCCTCTCTGGACTCACCGTCCTGCCCGTTACCGGACCTATTGTGGGTACTCATACCGTTCCCCACAACCCCTTTCCTTCGGCTTGGCGTTCAGCAGCCAAGCTCCCTCTAGTCGCACGCTCCTGTGACTCACTTTGCACTTGAATTCCACGATAACCGGCGAGAAGATACCCTGGGTCTCCACCAAACTGTCGCGGACTTCCTTCGTTCCGGGTCGTGTATCTTATAAGCCGGTGTAGAAAAGAAGTATGAGGTTGCGAAGGAATAAAAATTAAAAAGTCTCCTTGTTTGTTTGTTTCGAGGGGAAATTACGACTGAACTAAATCGCAGACCGACGGACTGCTGAACCATCCTTAGCGACGCAAGTAGAATCCTTACCTTCCGCTACTGTCCGGCACGATAGGAGGTCCAAAGTCGGCTCCTTCAATAAACACTTGGATGGTCAAGCTGTCTTTTGGGGGAGGACCGTGACACTAGTACCCTTTCAGATCCATTAAGGCGAGTCGAATATCTTTTCGGGGGTAAACCAGAAACATCGTGCATCAAATCATTAGCAAGATGGCATCGAAGCAATCGGACCCAGATCGAATACGGTCTGGTATGTTCGTAAAGAGGTCGCTTACTAAAAACTACAGAGTCGCAATAGGCTGAGCCTACCGGTAATAAAAATTTGTGTGTGTGTGTGTTTTCTGGCGTACCGGTGGTTATCAATTATTAGCGGTATAATGTAGAATACCGTACAGCACAACAAATATTTCGGAAGTGCCGTAGTACCTGTACTGATTCTGTTGCATGTGAGCTCATGATGCGTTAGCTTTTAGTCAAAGTTTGACGGTCTTTACGCACATTACTTTCGCGCAGATCTCGGTGGGTATCCTCGTTTCTGGCTTAGCATTGAATTCAGACGATGAAAAAAATACCAACATAAGGTTGATCATTGGTTGGGTATGATGAAATCATTTCGCTTTTCGCCCTCTCTCTCAAACACGAGTCCCTCATCGCTGGAATCACTGACGCATTAAGTAAAATACTGAGCCTCAGTCGCCACACAGGCGTACTTTTAAGCTCGCTTCTTGTGATGGCACTGGCCCAGACTTTAGTCGCTAGCGCTGGTCCGGTTGTTTCAGGTACACCACCAGGATTCGCAGCCGGCACAACCGGCGGTGGCAACGCCGAGCCTGTCTATCCCAAAGATATTAAGGAGCTCTCGACGTACCTCAGTGATGATGAGCCTCGTGTAATTGTACTGAAGCAGGAATTCAACTTCATGGAATCTGAAGGGATCACTACGGAGGACGGTTGTCATGCAAAGGGAGCAGCCGATTGTGCCGCGAAGAAGAACGGCTTCGAGCCGCAAGATACGATTCAGCCTTCCTTTACCACATGTGACAATATCATGGTGAAGGTCACGTACGACAAGGCAGCCAAGACCCCGCTGAAGGTGGCCAGTAACAAGACTTTGGTAGGTGAGGGCACAAGCGGCGTGCTCACCGGTAAGGGAATCGAGATCAAAGGCAACAACGTGATCGTCCAGAACATCCACATCACGGACTTGAACCCGCAATATGTTTGGGGTGGTGACGCCATCGGCATCAGCGGAGACAACGGCGTTATCCCGACAGGCATTTGGCTCGACCACGTTAAAGTGACAAGCGTCGGACGCCAGATGATCGTCATCCACCTCTCTGGGGCTTTGGGAGTCACCATCAGTAATTCCGACTTTGACGGCAAGACGAAGTATTCATCGTCTTGTGACGGTCATCATTACTGGGGATTCATTATCACGGGTGCGAAGACGGAGGTGACTCTGGTAGGAAACGCCATCCACGGAATGTCTGGAAGATCTCCGAAAATCGGAGGCTCCAAAGATAACGTCATTGCGGTCCACGCCGTCAATAACTATTTCTACGATAACAGCGGCCACGCGTTTGATGTCTCGCAGCGAGGATATGTGTTGGCGGAAGGCAACTACTTTGATAATGTGAAGACCCCCAACCAACCGGACCCGGATGGAAACATCTTCATCCTTGCTTCGGCTGGTGACTGCAAAGAAACTATCGGCCGTGACTGTGAGTTGAATGCACTTACTGACAGTGGAACCTTGACCAGCAACAAGGAGGAGGAGTCCAAGAAGCCGATCAGCACGTACACGACGCAGATTGAAGAATACAAGGCGTCTGCCGCTACAAAGCTCGCCGTTGCCAGTGATAACTTCGGCGTCGGGGAGCTGGGTGGCAACAGCGTGACGCAGTCGAGTGGGTCTGGTGCTGCGTAGTCGAATACGAACGCATCAGCCGATCAAGAGACAGAGGCCCCTTCTCAAGGAACCCCTGCTCCAGCAACACCTGAGTCGCCCTCGATCCAAGGATCACCTGCAAATGGAGCCCTGTCGCCAGAGTCTCCAGAAACAAAGAAAAGTTCCGACTCCTCTGCGGCGGTTGAAGAGAATGAAGCTCCTTCACCTCCAGCGTCGCCAGAATCATCCTCGAATCAGGGATCCGAAGCACACGGGACTCAGCACATCAACTTCTACCAGCTCAAGTGTCATCGGAGCTCCGATAGGCTTCGCGTCGGGCACAATCGGCGGTGGTAGCGCGGAGCCTGTGTATCCCAAAGACATCAAGAAACTCGGAACGTATCTGAGTGACAAGGAACCCCGTGTAATCGTGCTCAAACAAGAGTTCAAGTTCATCGATTCGGAAGGATCAACAACTGAAAAGGGATGCCACTCCAAGAACAACATGGACTGTATTGCCAAAAAGAATGGCTTCGAAGGCCAAGACACGATCGAGACGGACTTCAGCAAGTGTGACGGTGCTTCTATCGATGTGACCTACGACAACGCTGCCATCACTCCACTGCCAATTACAAGCGACAAGACGCTGATCGGTGAAGGCACTAAGGGAGTCCTCAATGGCAAGGGCATCCTCGTCAAGGGCAGCAACGTGATTATCCAGAACATCCACATCACCAACTTGAACTCGCATCTTGTGTGGGGTGGAGACGCAATTGGCATTAGTGGCGATGGAAATAATGCCCCCAAGGGCATTTGGATCGACCACGTCAAGGTTTCCAGTATCGGACGTCAGATGGTCGTCACCCACTTCAGTGGTGCCTCGGGGGCTACCATCAGTAATTCGGACTTCCATGGCAACACCAAGTACTCCCAATCATGCGATGGTCGTCATTATTGGGGATTCTTGATTCTCGGTAAAAAGACCGAAATGAGTTTGCTGGGTAACTATATTCATATGACTTCGGGTCGATCACCTAAGATCGGAGGCACCGAGGGAGATGTCTCCGTTGTTCACGCTGCCAACAACTACTTCGAAGACAATACTGGACACGCCTTTGACGTTGTAACCGGCGGATCTGTGTTGGCTGAAGGCAACAACTTCGATAGTGTGAAGACGCCCAACCAGCCTGACCCAGCCGGAAACATCTTCATCCCTGCTTCAGCTGGAGACTGTAAGGCCACCATTGGTCGTGACTGTGAAGTGAACGTGCTTGCTGACAGTGGAAGCTTCACCAGTAACTCGGAAGACGCTGCAAAAAAACAAATTGGTACGCTTAAAACGAAGATCGGCGGTACCAACGTGACTGCTGCTACAAAACTAGCAGCCGCAAAAGGGAACTTTGGTGTTGGTGAGTTGGGTAGTAACAGCGCTGCTCCTTCGCCGGCATCGGGTAGTAACGACACACCTGCCGCCACACAAGCTGCTCAGACTTCTTCTACGCCGGAATCGCCCTCGACTGAGGCCCCGACGTCAGGGGGTTCAGCCTCGACGGAGAAACCTCAAACTCCGACCGGAGAGACCCCTTCAGCGATGGAAACACCTCACCAGGGCGAGACGCAGAACGAGGCACAGTCAGTCAAAGCTCCGTCTTCCGCGAATACCCCAAGTATACCACTGGGTACAGTCGCGCCACATTCAGACAATTCGGGATCCGGGAACTCGATTCTGCAGTGGGGCCATGTGACCCAAGGAGAATTCTCTCCAATTGCTGACAATTAAAGCGCCGATCATGGGGAAAGAGGACAAATTTGATGTTCTTACGTGTCAAAGGAATGTAGTAGTAGTGAGCGAATACTACTACTGCTCCTGCTGTCGTGTTACCTGTCTGTAGTTTTTCGGAAGTAATACTTTGTGGCATACCAAATTTGTGGTACTAAACACAATTTTCACTGATTGGCCAAAATGTAAGGACACATTCGTACTTAGTCAACTAGGCTTTCAAATACCACGTGACGATGCCAGGCCGACCTCGAGTAGTGCGGGTGAAGACTGACGATGCGACGGTGGAGCCTCCGCGCCCGACGCAGCGCCGTGAGGCCGTGAGCTACGTACGCAAGCTGGAGGTAGTGGTGCATTATGAGACGCACAACAGTCTGGACGAGACAGTGGCGTTCTTCTTCCCGGACGCGCCGGCGTCGCAGGTGCGCGCAAAGAAGCAACTTGTTATGCGCTGGAAGCGCGAACGCGCCAAGATTGCTGCGATCTGCGAGGCCGGTGGAGGCCGAAAGACCAATGACCGCAAGTTCGGAATGGGCGCCACGTTGTCGACTGAAGCCGAGCAACGCATCGTCGACTGGATGCACGCAGAACAAGCAGCCGGCCGTCCCGTGTCGGCCAAACGACTCTCAGAGCGCGCCATGCAGGCGGCACAGGAGGACAAACTGCATCCGGACAGCTTTAAGGCCTCGTGGACATGGAGACAGTCATTCCTGCGACGACACGGCTTCACACAAGGCGCACAGAGGGGGCATACCATACCGGACACAGAGACAACAGAAACAGAGATGACAGGGACTACTTTGTAGGTAGAATAGATAGGTTGAATGTTTAACTAAACCTGAGTGACTTGTAGCGCAATGGAGCTTAGTAGTAGTAGACACCGGCCTTGACCATGGCGCTAGCAAAGCGTGTCTCGTCGCAACTTTTGTTCGGCATCCGCTTAGTGGCAATGGTAGGCTCGTTCCAGCCGAACGTAATGGAGTCTGTCACAGGTGCGAGAGCCTTCTCGCGCGGGTCCTTCTCCATACGTTGGTGCTTGACCAGTTTCGCTTGGAAGTCGAGGTTGGACACGAACTCGCGTGTAGGAAGGCCGTCTTTTAGGTACGCGTTGTGGGAGGAGGCGGCCTCTAAGGACTGCGAGTGGCGACAGACTTCGTCCATTTGAACCAGGAACGTGGCCAGGTCAATCGACTGAGAGGTGTCGGTGCCGTTTAGTAGACGAAAAGCTTGCTCCACGAGTGTTCTAGCGCTGGCTGGCACGTTATCGGCACCTTTCGGGCATTTGTAGAGATGCCGTAGCACGTCTGGCAACTGCGCGAGTGTGATGGTGGCCGAATCCAGCTCAGCGTTCGCGGCTTGGACATCTTCGTCACTTTCGGAATATAGAGAGAAACCGGGTCGATAGGTCTGCATGAAGGCGTCTTGGAAGTCACGCCCTTGGAAGATGTGGATCGGAGTTTCTTTCACTCGGTCGAAGGAACCTTGCGAGCCTAGAAAAGTGAGCCCGAAGAAGGCAGACATGTTGCTGGGACTTAAGTTATTGAGAGAATGAAGCTGGCCAAGGGTGGGGAGTGAAACGCTTGCGTGTTTCTAAGCAATCACGCTGTGAATAGTTCTGAGAGATGACACGATGCCAAAAATATGCCACTCGAGTAAGTAGGGAGGTTGTTGACATCGCCATGCACCATCAATTATTATGGTGCAAAACACCACAGCTTGTAGCCAACACGTTTGTTTACTCTGCGGTACCTGATACCGACACGACCCTGACACAATACAGAGACCATATCATATGGTCCATATGCAAGGCGAGCCTTGCAACGTTGACTCATCGCATTTTGTGTTCGTAATCTAGACTTGTATGAGACTGCGTCAAACAAAATGTTTCTTATGAACCTAAGTACGAATCGCGGTTTAAGCAGAAAGCGGGGCGTCTCCTCTATCTTTTGAGCCCTTATAAGCTGCAGAATGCTTAAAACTGAAGAAGTTGTGGTCGCTCAAAAATATTATCCTCATTTATGGGCCCTCGAAATGACGATACATTTAGGAGTGTTGTGAGCTCAATATTTTTTCAATTTTTGAGATTTTAGTGCTATTAAAAAACTCTTGTTAAAAGCAATTGAATAAGGGTGGTTTTACAGTTTTTTTCGATGGAAGTTTACAATAAATGTCACTGTTTCGGTTAAGTGCGAAAATCAATTGGCCAACTTTAAGCTCGATTATCTCAAGTAGCATTTTGTTTGACGCAGTCTCGTATATGCAACGCAGTCAGACTGTACCTGTACCGGTATCCAATAGATAAGGTCCGGGTACCGGTATCCGATAGATTAAAGGTCCCCGGCGCTGAAAATCGATTTATAGTGTTGGAGATGATCAGGGAGCGACAGCAATCACAGTTGTCGTGAAAGCATTTCTTGAGCGCCTCGTTTGCCGCGTTTCGTTACCGGCTCCGGTATCTTGGGATTGACCGATGCATCTTGGGATGGACCAGACCGAGCCCCTGACTCCGGGCACAAAAGCTGGACCTAGCAGCTTCTGTGTTCGGCTACACCTCGTATTCGAACAACAAAACGATGAGAAACGTACGTTAGCCCCTCGCGACCACCGCTGTGCCGGTCCTTATTCTCAAATTTACTCACATCGGTCACACCTATTCGAGCTCGAATACGACGACACCAAGGAAAATGGCCCGGAGATTTCTGGGGACAGTTCTTGCGGTTGTTCTAGCTCAGCTTGAATTGGCCGCCGCTGCTTCAATCGTAACGGGCACAGCGCCCGGATTCGCCGCTGGCACAACAGGAGGCGGCATTGCGAAACCTGTCTATCCTACCACCATCAAGGAGTTGACCACTTACCTCAGCGACACGGAACCGCGCGTCGTCGTGCTCAACAAGGAATTCACGTTTATCGATACTGAAGGCTCCACGACCGAAAGCGGGTGCCGTCCGACCAACAACCAGCAGTGTCTCGCCAAGAACAATGGCTTTAAGGGGCAGGATGCGATTCTCATGAACGGAGATACTGCAATGCAGCAAACGGGTGGATGCGACAGCGGCGGCAAGTCGATCGATGTGACGTTCGACAACGCAGCCAAGACGCCATTGGTCGTCGCTAGTGACAAGACATTGGTAGGCGAAGGCACGAAAGGTGTGCTGAATGGCAAAGGTATCATTATCACAGGCAGCAACGTGATCGTACAGAATATCCACATCACGAACTTGAATCCGCATCTAGTGTGGGGTGGAGACGGTATCACTGTTAGAGGCGAGGGGAACGTCGCACCGAAGGGCGTGTGGATTGACCACGTTAAAGTCTCCAGTGTCGGTCGCCAGATGGTTGTCATCAACTTCTCTGGCGCCACGGGTGTCACGATCAGTAATTCGGACTTCGATGGCAACACCAAGTTCTCAGCTTCGTGCGACGGTCACCACTATTGGGGGTTCTTGATCCTGGGTAAAAAGACCGAGCTGAGTCTGGTTGGCAACTACATTCACCACACTTCAGGTCGGTCGCCCAAGATCGGAGGTCACGACGGTGAGATCTCGGTTGTTCACGCTGCCAATAACTTTTTCTTCGAGAATTCTGGTCACGCGTTTGACGTGGCAACAGGCGGCTACGTTCTCGCAGAGGGAAACTACTTCGCTTCGGTCAAGACTCCAAACATGGACGACCCGACGGGAAACTTCATGGTGCCTACTGCTGCTGGAGATTGCAAAGCGACTATCGGTCGTGACTGCGTCTTAAACGTTCTCAAAGACAGTGGTGTTTTGAAGAGATACTCACAAGATAAGGTGGGACCGCAACTTACAGATGTCAAGAAACAGGTCACGACTTACAAGACCACTGCTGCGACTCAGCTCTCGGAGGCAAGCGGTAACTTCGGCGTCGGTGAATTGGGAGGTGACGTGACTCAGATGAGTGCGTCTAGTGGTACCGAGGCGCCTAAAACAGACACGAAAACAACGCCAACAAAGACTCCAGCCACAACGAAATCACCGAGTACAAAGGCTTCAGTTGAAACAAAATCTCCGACCACACAGGGATCGGATGTCGGAGAACCAACAACTCAGGGTTCAAGCGCAACTGACATCGCCGAGACGAACGCTCCCGAACCAATAGCGCCCTCAACTACGAAGGCTCCTACTTCGACGAACGTACCGGTGCCTACACCTTCCGACACCCCAAACCAGGCACAGGGACCTGCAACGTTCAGTGGGGGGTCGACAAATGCGTCGGTTCCTGGTTTTGGAGCGGGTACAACGGGAGGTGGTAATGCAAAACCCGTTTACCCTAAAACTATCAAGGAACTGGCCACTTACCTCAGCGATGCCGAGCCACAAGTCATCGTACTGACTCAAGAATTTAAATTTATCAATAGTGAGGGATCTACGAAAGAGAGTGGTTGTCGTCCCACGAACAACCAGCGGTGCGTAGCCAAGAACAATGGGTACAAAGGACAGGATGCGATTCTAATGAAAGGAGACACAACCATGCAACAAACTGGAGGATGTGACAGTGGCGCCAAGTCCATCCAAGTGACGTATGACAATGCGGCCAAGACCCCACTGCCCGTTGCGAGTGACAAGACGTTGGTTGGTGAAGGCACCAAGGGGGTTCTCAATGGCAAAGGTCTTCGCATTGAAGGTAGCAATGTGATTATTCAGAATATCCACATCACAAATCTGAACTCACCTCGTCTGGGGTGGGGATGCGATCTCTATTGGAGGTAGTGGACAAGCACCAAAGAACATCTGGATCGATCACGTCAAGATCTCAAGTGTGGGTCGTCAGATGATTGTGGTGCACTTTTCCGGTGCTACAGAAGTTACGATCAGTAACTCCGACTTCGACGGAAATACCAAGTTTTCAGCGTCTTGTGACGGCCACCACTACTGGGGATTTTTGCTCTATGGCAAGACGACGCAGATCAGTCTAGTGGGCAACTACATCCACACAATGTCAGGACGTGGGCCGAAGATCGGCGGTGCTGAAGGTGATAACGTCGTTGTACACGCTGCCAATAACTACTTTGAGGACAACACGGGTCATGCTTTCGATATCGCTGCTGGAGCGTACGTGCTAGCTGAGGGCAACTACTTCTCTTCGGTAAAGACTCCCAATCTGGACGACCCGGCTGGACACTTCTTTGTTCCAGCACGAGAAAGCGACTGCAAAACTGCCATTGGTCGTGCCTGCAAGCTTAACGTACTCACCGGCAGTGGGAAGTTGACCAGTTACTCTGCACGTACAGCGTTGGGAGAAGTGAGCAAGTATCCAAAGCAAATTGGCGGATACGCGATCACGGAAGCCTCGAAACTTTTGATGGCAAGTGGGAATTTCGGTGTTGGCGCTTTGACCAGCTCTGTTCCTTCTACGGAGAATAAACAAGATGTTCCGGCAAAAAACGCTGAGGGACATAACGAAGATGACACAAAACAGGGAGATACTGCTGCGCAAACGTCGGTGGAAACCGATTCGTCGGCTAACGAGGTGTCCTTGGTCGCGGCCGATTCAGATGTTACGCAAGGAGCAGTTCAGTCAAATGAGGCTCGCTCGATTGGCACGTGCAAGCGGAAACTTCGCAAGAGATACTTAACGGATGCCGTGAAGTAAGCAAGCGCCGATATGGGGAAACAGCAGTTTGATGTGATAAAGTTTCAGTGTCGTTTTGCGCAGCAGTTAGTGTGTCGTAGACGTTATAACTTGTGGACAATTTATCTACGTCGGACTGTCGCAACGTAAAGCAAACTCAGACTGAGCTTTCTTCAGCTTGATGCTGCAATAATACAACATAGCTTTGCTGAACATGTGATCAGGAACATTTTCTGAGTGGTTCTGGGAATTTTACTCTTTGAGTTAGTGCAAAAACTAGTTTTTGAAAAGATAACGTCAGAATTCTTCCGTATTACTATTTATCCGATTTGATTACGTTTTCAGTTCACCCAATGTCTTTGATCGGTCAAAATTGAATCCATATCTATTCGCTACTCGCTGTCGTCTCTGATCTTGATCCCTGTCTAGTCGCCGACTCCGCCGATCATACTTCGGTCATTGAAAGGGGTGGAAGCTCCGGCTACAAGACAGCATGTGCACCCTTACTCGGTGTTTCACTGTTTGTAATGTGCCCAACTCCAATTACATAAGTAGGAAGATATTTGTTGCAGCTAACACATAATTTCCGAGGCAAGCCCTCATGAAGCCATATACGTATAACCATCGTTTCTACATCCTATCGACGACATCCTTTGTCCTCAGAATATTCGCCGTCTCGCTCGTCACCGCTGACTTTGTCCTCGACTCGGCAACGCACGGATGTCGGTACCACAACAATGATCGTCAACATCAACGGACACCACTGTAGCTACCAAGAGACCGTATCATCGACGGAGAGGACGTGAGAGCTCAATATATCGTGGCACAGAAGCAGGCGCTTTCATCAATAGACGTATCGCCGAGACCGACCGTCCTCCAGCGATGGGACGATACGTTTTAAAAGATCCACTCAGAAGTAAAGAGACAATCACCCTCTCCCGCATCCCGCGGCGGACAACGGTGCCATATGCAAGAACTCTAGTGCCTATCTGAGACGCAGTGCGAGCTTTAACTACTCACCTACGATGCCCGCAGAGCTGACACCAGGGAACTCCGTGCTGCACGCGACAAGACACTGCAACGAATCCGCGAGCGTTGTCGCACCGTTGCTCAGCAGACCCTAGCCGAAATAAATACGTGTATCGAGAGCTTGAGCGACTCAACTCGGATGTATGCCGTTGTCCGAGAGCTCCGCTGCAGCAATCCACAACTGCTACTTCTACTCAATCGCGAAGGTAAGTACATCCTGTACCAACAAACGGCTAACACACTTGTCAAAACCCATGTCGGGAAACTGGTTTACGATCCTGGAAGACACCGGACTGTGAACGCCGTGTTCTAACGTGTCATGCAACGGCTTCAGAGATCGAAACAGCCTCCCATCGCATTAACAACGGACGTGCATTCGGTCCAGACGAGATTCCTGCGGAAATGCTTAATACGGTGCCTCCGAGCTTGCTCCCTCACTTTGCTGACATTGTTTATTCCAGCTTCAAACACGGCCTGCCTCTTCCGCTCGGTTCCGGAATCTTGTTGTGTCGACCAAACCCTAGCAAGCTCCGAGGTCTCTGGTTCAGTCTCCGACCAATCGTGGTTCAAATTAGCATCCGGAAGGCCATATCTCTAGTAGTACTGGGTCGCGTCTTTCCGGCGGTGGACATCTATCAGTCACTCTATCAGAGTAGGTTTCGTGAGTGCCGCAGCACTGTCAATGTTTATGGGCGCACAAGTGGATCTGCGCAGCTGTACGGCGATATCGCGAAACTGTCTATGTATTAGATACTGACATTTCCAGGACATTCGGCACTATTGACCGGGAAAATCACTGGGGCTTTTCCAGCTATTTCCAAAGGAAGACGAAGTCAGTCTGACCAAGTTCCAGCTTGCTGACACTACACTTTCGATCCGAACCGGCTTTACAACATCAAAGAAAACCTGCAGCAACACAGGTACACTCCAAGGTGACTCACTTTCCCCTGTTCTATTTGCTATCTATCTAGAAGCGGCATTACGAGATATAGCAGGCCACATTACCGTACCATGCAGCCTGCTCGACCATATCATTGCATAGAGTCTAGGTCGTCAGTAGACATATTTTGATACGCCAAAAGACATGTATCAGCCGTCAGTAGACACGAAATGACAATAGTGTGCACAAAGAAGCCAAAATGTCTATTAATATGCAGATTACTGGCCCATGGAGGACACGCGTACAAGGAGTGGACTGCCGTGACGCCCATGCGTCACAGCCACGTGCAGCGTACCCCGCCACCCATTTCAGTTTAGCCACATCTCCAGACACTGAACCACCACATCGCAGATTCGATGCCCCCTTCGCAAGCAAGGGTAATACAATGCAGAACGGAGGCTGAATTTGTTAGTTACCGATGGCAAGTCTTCTGCTGCTCGGTAGTGCGCGGTGTGAGGCCACTTGTCTGCTCAATTTGTCCGGGTGATCATGAAATGATCGAGCGACACCTTCATTGCAAGAGTGTAACGTGTGAGAATAGCGTGTCATGTACAAAGTGCCCCGTTCGCTGGAAGGTCCGTCACTGCCCTACAGCATCTATTTGGGTCATTCTTAGCAACGGAAAGCCTCACCTACGCGGCGACACTGAGTGTGCCGTGCCACCACGCCCTAAGGTTACACCCGAAATGAAAGCCTACATCCACTGAATGGACGAAAATGCAGTACCACCTCGGCTAATCTGGAGTAACCTCCTGCGAGCTCCTGACATCCCGAAACCGGCCCTGGGCTACCCATCGTACGCCCAGGTACAACGCAGCGTTAGGTACATACGCTGGCTTCAAGGAAGCAAAAATTCAATACAACGAGTGAAGGAGCTGGTGCATTCTAAGGCTTATGTGGCGGACATTGATCCTGAGACTGCTTTCGTATTTGGAAACGTTGAAGACGAAAACGGTTTCCCGTTTGTGGGAAATGGAGAGGACGAGCAACCGTTGATTTTGGGCATCACTACGATGAAATTGCTGCGAGGCATTCGTGCACTACAACGAGCGGAACCTTTCCTAATTTTTCATCTGGACGCGACTTTTAAACTCAGTGATCTTGGGTACCCTGTCATCACGTGTGGCTTCACTGATAAGCGCCGTGTGTACCACCTAGGTGCCTTATTTATTGTTAGCCAGCG